TTGAAAAATTCGTGTTAACATATGCTTTTAAAATACAATCATATATATATATATATATTTCGAACAATTTTTATTTACCATGTGCACTTAATTATATTTATATTATATTTCTTAGAATTAATTTAATTGGTCTTCATATATATATAATAAATTTAAATAAAATAATTTTTAAATTAATAAAATACATAATAAATTTCAAGAATAAATTCATATCTAAATAATATATTCTATATATTAAATACATATACATATGTATATACTGTGTTATAATATAGAAATATTCAAATAAATATATTTATGAGTAATTAAATACGACATACTAGTTCAGATCATACATGATCAGATTTTTCGATTTCAATAATCAAAAAAAAAATTATTTATATGTTACAAAAATTGTTATTAAAATTTTTAATTATAATACTTTATATTTTTATTATTTTTTTATTTGATTTATTTGATTATTTAAAGTTACATATATATATATAAAGTATATAAAATTAAATATTTTACTTTTCAAAAAAAAAATGAAATATTTACAATATATAGTTACATTATTTTATATCGACATATATTATACATAATATTCACATGTTTATAAAAGGATCTTTTCTTAATTATTTTTGGAGGATTGATTGATATGGAAAAAAACCATATCATTTTTTAATTATAAATTGAAGTGAAAGGAAAATAAAGAGAATCCATATTGTCTCCATCAGATCTCAGTTTATCTCTATCTTATATCTTCATTTAACATAAATTTAATAAATAAGTTTTGATCATTATTTTTGTATATTAATTTTTATGTTTGTTTTCGCTTCTAGAATCCTTTATATTAGCGAATATATTAACATCTAATTTTTACTTCGCTAGAATTATATTAGTTGAAAAAAATTTATATTTTTTAAAAATTATAAGATATTATTTAAGAATTCATTAAAATTATCAGATTATTGCTTTAATATATTATACTTCCAAAATAAATCTTGAAGCTAATCTTGGCGCAATTAAAAAATATTTTCTTAGTTTTTTGAAAAAAGCTGTATAATTATGATTGCTTTATATTAAAAAATAAAAAACTTAAAAAAAAAAAGATTTATTGATGAATAAATTTATTGAAAAAAAATTTATTGATGAATACATGAATGAAAATTGCCTCTTAGATATTAATTTTTTTAAAAAATATAAATATCAATTATATTTTTTGCTTAGAAAAATATTTATTAATAAAAGAGAAATCATTTTCAAGAACAAGAAAGAAAAAAATGAGAATGAAAGAGTTCTTGATCATTTATAGAAATTCTATAAACGTGAAAGATTGATAAAACAGTAGAATTGAATTTTCGAATTTTAAGATATTTTTACAAAGAATCTCGAAGAAATTAAGATTCTAAATGCGATATTATTCAGTATAAAATCGATATCGTTTTATTAAACAAACGTCACAATAGTCGCAAAAAATTGAACGAACTATCAAAGAACTATCATCTTTCACCGATCGTGCTTGTAAAAAAGAATATAAAATTTTGTATCGATTGTCATTAATTGAACATAAAAAAATTGAAATTGAAAATAAAAAAAAAATTCCTTCTTTGCCCTTAGAATAAATATATCCTTTTCCATTTAATTTTTTATTATCGATTTGAACACAAAGCAGCTATTTGCAGATTTCAATAAATGGAAAAGATAAAGAGAAAACTTTTGCAAAATAGAATTAGTATGAAATAATACCATTTAATTTCTGTAACATTTTTATCATATTTAAACATCATGGTTTATCTAGACGACGTAATAATTTTTGAAAAGATAATAATAAACATAATATAATAATAATGAATAATAATGAATATATAATAATGAATAATAATGAAAGGAATAATATGAAAAAATAATAATAATGAACAAAATGAAAGAAATAATGAATTTTGAAAAAGTATTCTTCTGTATTTAGATAAATCTATTTATAAACCTGCAAAATGCAGTTTCTTTAAAGAAATCGAGTGTTTACATATTGTTGCAGAAATCGGAATAAAAATAAATCCGGACGAAATCAAAGTAATCCAAGAATGATCAATTCCAAAAAATATATCTTACTTGAGAAATTTTCTGTTACTTATTATAAAAAATTTATCAAAGATTTATATATTTTCATTAAATTATTACTAATGTGACTATCATTAATATTTGACATGTAAAATATTATTATGTATTATATTTCTTTATAGTATTAATATTAATTTATTAGATTTCGATATTAATAAAATAAATAATATTATAATTAATAAGAAGATAAATTTAATATGTATTAAATATACATTTTGATTAATGATTAATAATAAACTAAATAGAATAGAATAAACTAATAAAAAATTAAATTTTAACTAAAATCGTACCATTTAAAATATTTTATATCATTCATACTTTAAAATTATAAAATTTTGCATTAATTTTCGTATTTTAAAATATGGATTGAAATTATATTGTTAGATAATAATCAATTAAAAGAAATTAGTTAAAAATTACATTAAATTATTACCTGATTTTTTAAAATATTTCTTATTTATATTATATAAAATTTCAAAAATAATATACTGAAATTTAAATTAATTAAAAGAAATATTAGAATATAGAATTTTCGTATTTCTTTGTGATTATTATTACATATAATATTTCAAAAAGAATAAGATAATAATAAGATAATAAGATAATAACATAATAATAATATTTTCAAATAAAATATATTTATATAAATTATATAAATTTTTTAATCCATTAAACTTCATTGAATTATATTTCTATTTTTCTTTTCGAATTTATTTAAATCCTTTCAATTCTTTGGTAATTAAGTTCTAAAATTTTTTTTACTATATAAATCCAAATATTCTTATCTTTCTGAATAAAATAGCACGATTTAGATTTTTATATTTTAACTCCATTACAATTACAATTGTAAAAATAATTTTTATTATTTAATTATATATTTGCATTTTTTAATATCATTAATAATTCTGAATATTTTTGTAAATTTTTATATTTTCTAACTTTTAAAATATTTTCATTTTATAAATATCGTTTTATTTTAACCTTTTTTTTTTTTGATATCATTGTACATAAGATAGATATTTACAATAATATATATATATATAAATATGAATTTCATATTTCAATAATAGAAAAAATATTGAATAGATTATAGAAAGATATATTCTTTTGTTACATCTTTATTTATTTTGATAATATATAGATAGAAAAGTATTTGAATAGTAGAATGGATTGAGTAATATAATAATAATAGATATATATAAAGATAATAGATATAGTAGTAATAGATATTAGATAAATATTGTAGATATAATAATTAATAGATATATTAATTTAGTAGTTTTCACTATTACTAAAATTTTCAGATAATAAAAAATACTTATGGATAAATCTTTCAATATTGAAAATTTCACTGAATAAAGAAAAATTATAATATTATGCATACAACACGAATAGAGAATAATAGCATATAAATATAATAAATAAATATAATAAATATGTTACTCAATTTGTAATCATTAATATGCAAATCAAATGTATATAAGCTTGGATGATATAAATTGTTACGCAATAGTGCATGCAACACAGAAATTAAATTATTCAAAATTGTAAAAATAATAATCTAAATAATTCTGTCAAAAATATATATTTTATATATTCATAAAATATATAATTATATCTTTTCAAATTTTTAATAAATCTTCGAACGCAAAATAAACTTTTTGCACATAAATTTTCATTTTCTTATCTTCAAGAACAAATTTAAAAATTTATTAAATATATTTATTGACATAGTATTATATTAAATATATGAATTTTTTAATGATATTTTAAATCAATAATAAAAAAAATAATAAATAATAAATAATAATAAATCAATGATAACAAAAATAATTTATAAAGTTGAATTATTTTCGAGTATAAATTAGATATTATAATAATATAATAGATAAATAATTAATATAGAATAGATAATTAATTATATATAATATATGGATAATTAATATAATATGGATAATTATATTATTAATTTTTTCTATTAATATTGTTGTTTTAAAAATAATATAAATTTAACTTTTTATAAAAAAATATAATTATAAATAATTAATTACAAAAAATTTCAAATAAAAGTACTAATGATGCATTAAAAATGAAAAAAATGAAAACTTTGTTCTGTTATTAAGTTCCACAAAAAAAAAATTAACCAATTGTTTATCATGTAGCTAATATAAATAATCAAATAAAAATCAGCAAAAGCCAATAAACTAAATTTTGAACAAAATAATATTTAATTGAATATAACTATTATTATATGTTTTATGGTATTAAAATGAAGTAAATCAATGTTTATTATAGAACAAATAATTAATAATTAATAATTTGTAAATAAGTCGCATATAAATTTCAATAAATATAATAATATATATTTTATTAAATTTCTAAATTAGAAAATAAAAATTTATATTTATTATATTCCAAAAATAAATAATTCTTTCACTCTATTAAAATAAAATGCAATTTATATTATTTATCTTAATTTATATTGTTTGCTATATAATTTACAAGTAACATGTTACTTATATTAAGATAAAATTACTAATTATAATAATATCGAATAATAATTATTTTAATAACTTTATAAGAGGAAATGGAAATATTATATATGTTACAATGCATTTTATATTTTATAAATATAATATGAAAATATATATTTTATAAATATATGAACATGTATTTTATAAATTACATTAATATATTAATTACATCATAATTCAAACAATAATTAATTATTGCTTAAAGAAAAATATACTTAAAAATTAAAAATCGATATTTATTTGTTTAAAATTAAAAGGACCAAATGTAAATTGTTTCATAAATTTTTTATCAATCTCAAATAAGTGCATTAATAACAAAAATATTTATCACATTTTATTTTAATCAAAGGAGAATTTTTATTGCAGACCAACAAAATGGATCACAGATGTTCGAGGAAGTTGATGCTCGAAGCGCAGGAAAATGGCGAGGAGAGGCTGGCCTCTTATCAACTCCTCCAAACGGATATTTTCCGCAACAGAACATTGGTTCGGTTAAATTCGAAGTTCCAAAAGTACCTGTTATATTTGTACTTGGTTCGTATTCTATATAGAGTAAATATACAATATTTCTTAGGAAATTAAAAAGATAAAATTATATTATATTAATGTATATATTCAATATAAAAAAGAATACACATTTTTTTATAATATCTTAAATATTTAAAATTTTAATATGTTATATATATATATATATAACATATTATATATATATATCGATATATAAATATCATATCGATATTTTTCAAAAACTTTTTATTCAAAAAAATTTTATATTATATACACATATATTTTATAAATTACATAATAAGAATATAATAATTTTTATATATTATTTTTACATGATTTTAAATCTTTTTTTAGGTGGACCCGGTAGTGGAAAGGTGACACATTGTGATAATTTAATGCAAGAGAAAAAGGGCATAACACACATCAATATGATGGATCTTCTTCAACAGTATGCTTTAGGAAATGGTATATTTATATAAGTGCATGTACATTAATTATAAATTATTAAGTTACGAAGAAAAGAATGTTATTATTAAATAAATTAATAAATATTATGTAAAAATGTATATGATTAAAACTATTTAATGATAATTAAAATTACAATAGTTACAATACAATACAATAAGAAATAATTTATTACGTAAATTTCAATAATCTATTATAGAATATACTAATGATTTTTTTTAGAAATAAAAATTTTTAATATTTTTAATATAATTCTGTAAATTCTTATTTTCATTTATTGTATATCTCTTAATAATCAAAATGATTTTTTATTTAATTCAATTAAAACTTTAATCATTTTATATTAATAAATTTTAATCAATGTTCTATGATTATTCATATTAACATCTTATATTAATATTCTTATTTTTATTGTTATATTCTTTATTTTTACGACAGATATGCAAGATTTCGGACAACTTAGCAGTAAAACCGTCGCAGAAGTTCTTATGCTAGAAATAAAAATGTCTCCAGAGTCCAAAGTCTTTCTTGTTAGTGGTTATCCACGTAATATGCGCGATGTAGTCGAATATGCCGAGAAAGTAAGTTTCTTATATTTTAATATAAACAGTATCATATATTTTAATATTTATTTAATCTAACAATTAATTTTATCTTAATGTTCATTTTCTATTTAATAACATCAAAAATTATTACTTGAGATTAATATTAAAAATTAAGATTAAGATTAATAAATTATATATTTAATATTAAATAATTAAAAATTAGGAAAACTCATTTTAAAATATTATAATAAAAAAATATATGTGTGTACATGTACATTTATAAAAAATGTATATACTGGAATATCTTTAAAAAGTCGATTTTAGAATTAAAATAAAAAGAAAAATTAATATATAAAAATGTTAGCTAAAATTTAATTATTTATTAAATAATATATATATAAATATATATAATTATATATTACAAATAATTATAAATAATGAAAATTAGATAGAAATAAACAAAAATGAAATTGCTTTGATATATTTCATTTTATAAAAAATTGAAAATATTTTTCTATAGATCAAAATTGTCAATGGTGTAATTCTTGTATCCTGGAGACAAGAGATTCTTGAAAGACAAATCAATTTTGGAGCACAGCTCGGACAAGTAGTAATCGAACTTGCAAGGATGGAACTTTATAATTTTTATAGGAATGTTATGCCCGTCGCGGAATATTTCGATCAAAGTGGTATGTTATTAGAGGTAAGAAAAGATTTTTGAAATAATGACATTACTTTTATTATTACTGGATCAATTTTTAAAATTTATTGGTAAGGTAATATTGGTATAGGTAATATAAAGCCTTTAACATGACATTATTTGATTTCTTCTTTTTTTTTTAATAATTTTTTTTATTTTTTAATTATCGTTTTTATGTAATTCGTATAATATAAAAAAGAATATTGTCATATTTTTTCATAATTACAGGTAAATGGAGAAAGAAATCCAAATGAGGTTTATATGGATTTTCGTGAGGCAGTTTTCAAAATTTTAGGTTTATCAAGTGGTAAAGTACGAGATAAAAACATCCCTCAATTAGAAGCAGAAGTATGTTGCTATTTTTTAATAATAATAATTTATTTCTTATCAATTATCAAATAATTTCTTACAATCTTTTGATTTTCTTCTACCTAAATATAGAAAATTTATATTTATAGATAGATAGATTTCTATTTATTATATTAAATAATAAAAATAAAAATATTGAAAAAAATAAAATATTATATATGTAATTCATTCGTTTTAATTATCAATTAAAATTAGAATTTGAAATAAGACTTTAATAACTTCCTATCCATGTTCAAATTTCGTTGCAAATAATTTTGTATTATTTTTTCTTTAAATAATATAAAATATGATTTATGTGGAGAAATTTTTTATAAATTTTTACATTCAAAAATATTAGTATATTGAAAAATGTAACTTAGTAATTTGCAATGAATAACAAATTTACACTATTTTCTTTATACATATTTGACATCATATTATCCGTATCATTTATAGTGTTTTAAATAAATGCAACTAGAAAATGAAAAATAGTTATATTTTAATATATTCATTTCTCGTGAAGATCACATTTGAATTATTCAATGAATAACAATTAAATTTCAGGTAGAAGTTGAAAGAAGAAAAGAATCTATTCCAAAATCACTATCTTCTAAGAAGGAAATGGTATCACAAATAACGCAATTACCTATCACTGTGAATGCCAAACCTACGAAAACCGTAGATAAACCTAGAAAAGAATTACCTGCGTTCATCTGGGTTATAGGTAAATATAAAAAAATAGTTGAAATAATACTCTTTCTTTTTACTTATGATTTTAATAATTGCTAAAGAGAATATATTAGTTATTTACGTACTCACATAACTTTCTCATTTATTATAGAAAAATAAATTAGCAAAAAATTTCAAGATTCGTGAACTTTTCGAAATTTTTATTACATTTTGTATAAATATATTCGAAAATTAAATTTAAAAAATAAAATAAATAACAGAATATTATTTCATATTCATTTACATTATATTAACATCTTGTATAAAGAGCATCATTTCGATATATTCAAAGATATTCAAGTTAAATATTATAGACTACATAGAATTATATTGAAAATATAAAAAATTATCAAATTATCAAAATGCTCTTAAAAATTTAATAAAAAAAATGGAATCATTATATTAATACAAACAAAGATTGCTTCGAAGATGATGGAAGTTAAATTTAGATTAATTAACTAGTAAAATTTTTATAAATACGATCCAATAGTTTTTCTTTTGCAAAAGTTGGCTCAATTATTAAGATCATCCAATTAAATTTTTCTATTATACTATACTTTTAGTATTTTATTTTTCTTAGGTGGTCCAGGAAGCAATAAAGAAAATCTATGCACTCAAGCTGTTCGTAATATGCCAGGCTGGGTTCAAGTTAGTATTGGTGGTTTATTGAGAACAATGGCATCCTCCAATACCATTGTCAACGAAGCTATTGTTTCTGGAGAAATGGTATCACAAGACATCGTGATGCAAGTAGTAGAACAACAGATTATTTTAAATCGAGACACAGATGGTATAGTAATAGACGGTTATCCGAGAGATTTAAATCAAGTCCACGAATTCGAGGATAAGGTAATTTAAGATTAAACAAATCATATACATATAATGCATATATAACAATAATTATTGTTAATAGCTTATGTAATACTTTGCTTTTATAATTGTAACTCTTATATATATAACTCTAATATTAAACATTACGTGAATAAGCTTATTCAAAAATGTTATCAGTTTGACCAGCAACCACCGTTAGTGTTACTGGATTGTTCAAAACTGCAACTCGGCAGAGGAAGACTGGATGATAATGTATCTGCATTTAGAAAGAGATTAGAATTCTTCCGCGAGGTATCTTTGCCTATGTTAAAAGCTTTAGATAATGAGAATCGCTTAACGATTGTAAGTACAATTCAATTTATTTAAAATATTTTCCTTAGAACTTCTAAATTTTCCAGAATATGTATATATATACATATATTAATATATATTAATATATATTAATTATTAATATATTAATATATATTAATTTTTATATTTATTTTGATGTCTCTAAAATCGATTCTCTTATGATTATATTATCATATATAAAATTGAGAATTAAACATTTTTTTTCATTCTTATTATTAATGAATGTTCTTAATATTGTGAATATTATTGATGAAATTATTAGTGAATGAAACTATATAAAAAAAATATAAATAAATCCTAAATATCTTTTAAAAAATTATTATCTGATTATTAACTTACTGCAATATTTGAAATAATTTAATATCAATTATTATATATTTCATGTTTTACATATTAGTATTATATAAAATCAAAAGCGCTAAATAAATAGTTTTTTTTTAATATTAAAATAATTAGTATGTCTTTTATTTTAATTTAAGAAAAATATAAAATTGTACAGAAAAAGTAAAGAAGCAAGTAAAATTACAATCTAATCATTATTTAATATATTAAGTTAATTAAAATTAAATTGAAAAATTATCGACATCGTTTTTTGAAATCTAATTAAATATTTCTTTTTTTTTTTTTTTTACTTCAAAATTTGTTAAATTCAAAATTCTTTATTTGATAATGTATTATATATTCTATATATTAGATCACAATTTTTAATTCACATTATAAAAGTGCTAAATTATATTATATTGTCAACTATATCAATATTATCAATTATTACTAGAGATATGAATTTAAAACTGCAAAATTCTATAAAATTCAAAAAGTTTTATGTTTCAATCTCAAAACTTTTCGTTATTTTTATGATTTTCGAAATAAAATTTTCGAAATTCAAGTAAAGAATAATTCAAACTTTAAAAAGAAAAAGTTGTAACTTATTGTAGCAATATGAATTTACTTTTATTTAATTAATAAATCCAATTGAATTTTTATTTAAAAAATATTATTTTATTTATTTAAAAAATATTTTATATTATATTTTATATTATTTTAATTTTTATTTAAAAAATATATAAATATGAAAATAGAGGAAAAAATATAGAAAAAAACATAAAAATTTAAATTTTTGCGAACCAAAGATAATATATTACTCAATTTGAATTTAAAAAATTTCAGAAATTTCAAAGACATTAAAAGTTTATCAATATTAAAAGTTTTAATTCTTGATAAAATAATACTATTTCATAAGAAATGAAAGAAAAAAAATAAATAAACATTTTAGATTTCAAGAATTTTTTTCTGTTTCGAATTTTGAAAATTTCAAAAGTTTCCCAAAGTTTCGAATTCGAATTTTATAAATAAAAAATTTGTTTTTAATTTATTTGTAATTATTATTTAAAATATTATCTGAAAATAATTATATAAAATAATTATATGCTAAAAATAATTATAATAAAATAATATATAATAATATATAATATGTAATAATATAATTAAAATAAAAAAATAATTATATGTTTTAAATACAGATTGATGGCGATACCGATGTATCAAGTGTGCAACAAGAATTTGCAACTGCACTTTATCAATTAATGACACAAACATATCGCAAAAAAGAAAATGATCCACATGGTTCTGAGTCGCAGATACAAGATAATGAAAATAGTATAAAATCAAATTTACTAATTTCTAACAATAGGAATGAATCAATCATACCAAATGGTATTTCTAAACAAATAATTGATAGTAAATCAAATATGAAGAAACCAACCAACATTATAAAAAATATGAATGGGCATATATATGGTAAACAATATTCTCTATTTTCAATTTAAAATGTTCCTTATTAAATTATTATTTATTAAATAAATTATGAAAGAATAAATATAAAAATAGAAGATGAATAAAAATTTAAATAGTTAATATTAAATAATAATTTGAAGTGATATATTATATAGCATGTATCACATATATGATTCGAAAAGAATAGAGACATTTCAAAGATTTCAAAATCCATTTGTTTAAATTAAATTATATTTTTTTATACACTAATGAATATATTTTTTTATACTCCATTAAAAAATTAATTATTGGTTAAAATAAATACATATTTATTACACTTATATTACACTTATTTTACAATGAAACATTTTTTACATTTTTTATAAAAATCAATATTTAATAATATCCAATTTTTGCAATTATAATAAAATTATATATATTATATAATTATTAAAATTGGATATACTTAAATTAATTAATTGTTATTATAATTGCCATATTAAATAAGTATAATGATACAAATATTTTTGTGACTATTGTATATCTAAAAATGAATAAAGTTCAAAAGATATTTTGAATTATGTGAAATTTAATTGTATGAAAAATAAGAAAAACATGAGTATAAGAATTACTTACTACTTTACTATTTTATGCTTTTCTTGCAATTTTGCAAATTTAAAATTTTAAATAAAATCTCTAAATTAATAATTCTTTGCTATAAATGACTAAATAATTTTATATAGAAAAAGAATAAAATGAATAGATTAATGATTAATAATTATTAAAAAATATCTATAATTCCATTCAAAAAAACAAAAATAATATTCATATATCCATCTAAAAAAAAAATCATCTAAATTATATATTTTTCGAAACGAAATAAATTCTATTTGAAATATTTTTTTAAATTATTGATTCTGCGTTATTAAACTGTGTTCACAATTTTCATAAATTTTAAAAATAAATTAACATCATTTAGAAAAATATAAAAATAATATTTTTGTTATAAACTTAAATTATAGAAAGTTTTTTAAATAAGAATCTTTTTAAAGAATTAAATAAAATCAAGTGTTAATCATGTTGCATCAAATTAAATGGTATAAAAAAAAAATTGAAAATGTTTAAGTAGAATAAAAATATTTAATTGATTATTTACGATACAAATTTCTGTTTACAGGGGCACCACGAATTACAAATAGATTAAAGAATAGTATGAGACATGCTCAAAGAAATGGTGTTGAATATGTGCAAAATGGTATCGCGAATGGCGCTGCACACATGCTACAAAATGGCGTAACACATTTGGCCAATGGAATTGTGCCGAGCAATAACAAGATTGCACCGGCAATTCAAAATTATTTACCAAATAATATAACAGATGCTGTGAGAAAAATGTACAATGAGGTCGAAGGTTATCAACAAAATTTACACATGTAAAACTGTAAAAATCATCGTTCAAATGAAAAGAAAAAAAAATATTTTTAATATCGTCCTATCTTTTTATAAATTAAATCGATCATATAAATATTCACGAAATTAAATTAATTCGAGGTTCCTATCTAATGAAACATGTAGTATAATATTATATAGTATACTTACTCATATACAACATATTATATTATACAGAATGTATTTGACATTTCCTGATAATCTGTTAAAGTGTAATCGAAAAAAAATAAGAAAACAGTATTGTATAAAATTTTCTTTTTTGATTTTTTTTTTGATATCTTTATAATATTTTATTGTATAAAATTTTTTTTATTGTATAAAAAAAATTAAAGATAAGTTATAGAATTTTAAAATGGAAAAAAGATTTTAGTGTTGAAAGTAAATTTTAGAAAGAATATATCTAAATTATTACGAAAGTTAACATGTATATTTTTTATACATGATGTAAAGTTCTTTTAAAATTGTCTATAATATTTAAAAATTTAATATTTTTCCATTTAATTTTTATTATCATAACAAAAATTAGACAATAAATTAATTAGTAAATAAAGATATTTATTATCCTCATTTTTCATTTATTTAATATTCATCTTTGCTTAATCTATCTATATTGAATTATGTATCTTGTATTAATTATGTTGAAAAATATATTTCTATATTTCTATAAAATTTCCATAGAATTTTATTTCTATAGAATTAAAAAATGAAAAAAATATATAATCAAATTGTACTTAAATTTGAAATAAAAATTAGACCATAAAGGATGCATGTGTGGATGCAAATATTTTCATAACTTAAAAAAAATATATCTACATAATTAATTTTTTATAATACTAAATATAATATGTATGAAATTATTTTATGAAAAATAATAATGAAAAATTCAATTTGCTAATTAAGTACAACCATATTATTATGTTATTTCAACATAAAAAATATAATGAGTATACAGATAAATCGTTTCATATTTTCAATAAAAAATTAATATTCCAATATTTATCACTGAATTTCTATTTTGTATGAAAAAATTATTAAATTAAATAACGTATTATTTATAACATGAAAATATAAATTGATCGTTCCATTATATATAAAAAATAATATAAAATTATTTTTAAATTTTATTAGTAAATTATATACAAAAATATGTAAAATTATTTTTAAATTTTATTACTAAATTATATACAAAATTTGTATAATATGATATGATTATATAATGATGATTATTTAATTATTTTATATAATATTAATTAAATATATAAATATTAAATAATATTTATTTAAACAAAGAATATTATATTATCCTAATATTCAGAATAACAGAAATTTTATAAAAAAGAAATAAATATTTTTTCTATGAAAATATTAAATTATATAGTTTAATATTTAATATTTTGTTTAATAATTTTATTTAAATATTTTGATATAAAATAAAATAATTTTTGCATTTTTTTCTAATAATTTTATTAATTATTTCTCCTAATTAGTCTATATATCATTTGCAATCTATAATTATTGTTTTATTGTAAACAACGAGATTTAAATTATTATTAATTACTGTAAACATTTTCATATACAATTGAATTTTCAAAAAAGATAGATTTTAATATTATTATTTTTTTGTAAATAAACGTATAAAAAACATATGAATGTTAAATATGTTTTTTAATTGAAATCATATATATATTAAAACATTCAATGCAATTTGTCATTCCCTATAAAAAAATATTAACTTATTTATATCTAAAAATCATTAGTTTATATTATATTTTATTTTATTTAGAATATATTTTAATTTTAATTTTACTATGAAATCAAATTCTCTTATAATTAATTTCGTTTATCACTCGTTTATCACTATTAGCATTCAACTGTATATGAAACATTTTTTACTACAAATAATAATATGATATAAACATATAAATTAAAATTAAATCACATAAATGAATCATCTTTATGTCTTTATATTTTTAATTAATATATTCATAGGATAATATATTTTAAAGATCAATATATTCTAGAAGTTAAAACAAACATAAAAATATAAGAAAATATATAGACTTATTAAATAGACTTAATAAATAGACTTATTTATTAAATTGTAAGCAATTTAAAATTGAGATAAACGAAGCGCGATGGAGATAGAGCAGGAGATAGAATAGATAATTCTATTTCTGTCATATTGCCATTTTGTTCTATCTCTATCTCGTTCGCTCTTAATTTATAATTGTATAAAATTTTTAAATAATACTTCAATTATTTTTATATACCAATTTTTATATTTGTTTTGAATAGATCCTTCAAAAGTGTTTCACAAATATTATTAACACTTTGTATACATTCATGAATTTTACTTAACATTTTTTAATTACTTTCAATATTCATGATTTATAAAGGAAATTCGAAAACAATCTGTATAATTATTTACATTAATTATTCACATCGTGCCTTAAAACGATTACGACTTAAATAGATTTAAATAAATTTAAATAGATGTAAAAGAATTTAAAAATAAAACCAAACACAAAATTATATTTGCAGATATACTTACATACATAGAATAAGATATTTGGTATAAAAAAAAACTTTGAACAAATATTGAAATATTAAGATTTCAAGACTAAATAATAATACGATACGTTTAAATGAAATACGTATTTATTTTTTTTTTATTTCCTTTCCTTCTCTTTTCTTTTTCCTTCTTCTTTTTTATTTAAATATTATAATACAAACAACAAATGGCTCATTGAATCAATTAAATTGAATTAATTTCTATAAATTGGATGAATCAAAATTAATTACAATAAAATGTTGATTATTCAAACAATTGGATTTGGAAAACAAATAAACAATTTGAATAAACAATTTTTCAGATAATTGATCAAGAAAAATCAAATTTATGAATAAAACAATTATCAATCATAAAATTAAAAATTTTAAATATATTTAAAGAAAATTTTTAAATATTCATATAGATATTCATTCAAGAAAATATATTATAAAAAATTAATTGTTTGTTCCAAAATCCTTATTATCCCTATTATTTTTTTCTTATTTTCTTTTTTTTCTTTTTTTCTTCCATCAAAACATTAATGTAAACATTAATATAAAAATATAAAAATTATTAGATAATTTAAATATAAATATATATATAATTTTTTCTATATTCAGATAACTGAAATTCAAATAATTTTAGCATTTTACTATAAATGAAATAATGAATGATTAAAATAAATAAAAAAAATTAAATTCAAGTTATTTTTTTTCTTTTTTCTCTTTTAAACAAACGTCATATAAAAAAAAACTTTTAATTTCATTTATTTTGCAAAAATAATATTATCTAGATTACATCACCCAAAATTACATCAGTGTTTCTTGATATATATACCCTCATAGAGGGAGCAATCTAAATATTGAATGAATAATTAAAAATATTTAAAGTTAAATATTTTCCTTAAAGATAATTATATTTATTTTGAAATATAAGAAAAAAATGAAAATTTTTACTTTATTGATTTTCTTTATGCTTTATTAGAAAAGATAAAAATCTAATTCTAAATTCTTACAAAGTATATAGAATTTTTTAAATATATTTTAAAATTAAAAAACGTAGAATTATAATACAATTAATATATCTTGAACTTGTCTGAAACAAAATATACTAAAATATGTTTTAATTAAGAGAGCAGAATATCTAATTTATATTTTTTTTAAAATATGTATAATTATTATCTTAAATGAAATAAAAATTTTTGAAACGTTGAAAAAAGACACGAATAAAAAAAATTGGAACATATTACTTTAAATAATATTTATTTTATAATAAGTATAATGAAATATAAATAATTTAAATTTAATTTAAAAAAATTTATCTAATTTATTCCAATTTATTTCCAATAAAATAATAAATATTGTTTTCTTTTGATTTAGTTTAAACAAATTTGGAAATTTATTTTCATGTTTAATATATAAATAAAAGTAATTCTTTAAGATTGTTGTGTACTTATTTATTTATGCTTTGTTCTTCAGCATTGATAATAAAATTCATTTTGCTTTAACATATATATTTAATAACTTTAAAAATTTTCCAAATGAATATCTTTCAAATAATAAAATCAATAATTATTTCCTAATTAATTTAATTACTTTTATATATATTTTATATGTGTTTTCTTTCTAAATCTAAATCATTTATTATAATAATAAAAAAGTAATAAAAAAAAAGAGAATTATGAGAAATAAATATATATATAAAATAATTATAAAATAATCCAAAAAGCTTATTAATTTATCGATATTTTAAAATATATGATATATTGATAATATTATAATATACAGAATATTAATATATTGAAACATTAATTCTATAAAATAAAATGAACATAAAAAAAAAAGAATACAAAAATATTGAAACTTATTTATTTATATTATAAGTTTAAATTTATGTTAGATAAAATAAAATAAAGACAGAATAAAATAACAGAACGATAAAAAGAAAACCAACTTTCATTGGAATTTCTTTGTTTAGTTTGCCGAATGATTGATTGGTTTTATATAAACTAGAATGGTCCAGGAGTAAATTCATTGAAAATTTATTTTTTTATGTTTTGAATGAAATATTTTTTAGTATATACATAATATTGATATATTAATATAATATATATATAATAATAAATAATAATATATAATAATAAGTATATATAATAATAAGAATAATAAATAACATAAAAAGATTTTAGAATACAAAAGTTGATATACAAAAATATCTAATTTATTAAATTATAACAATTGAAGTTTGTATTAAATAAAGCAAGATAAAGACAAAACAGTGCAATGGTATAACTATAATAGAACTATTTTATTCTACCTCATTTCATCTAATTAATTAATGAAATATCTAAAAATATTATGAAAAAAATATTTTTATAGAAGTTTGGTATAAAGAAATACAATATGTAATATTAATTTTTCTATAGATTGTAAAGATCATATGAAAACTACTTTAATTTTTTTTTTTTAGAACCATATAATTTTCATTGCATTAATTGATACAATTCGTTATTTTTTAAAAACAACTGAACTATTCATATCAAAAAATC